TGTACCCAGCTAATTTTTTGACTTTATTTTGTAGAGACAGGGTTTTGCTCTTGCTCAGGTTAGTCTCAAACTCCTGGCCTCAAGCGATCCTCCTAACTCAGCCTCCCTGAGTGTTGGTATTACAGGCATGAACCAATGTGCCCTGACAAAACCATTTTCTGATACAATTAGAGAACAAATCAAATAAAGCCCCACTCTTCCTTCCTGTTTCCTGGCAATCAGTCAACTTGATAAAGATTACGCAGCATGCAAGGAACAAACTTCTCTTCCTCATGCAAAAATCAGTCATTTTTCCCCCATGGACTCTTAGAGTCTCACTGTCCAAAGTATACGTGGCATATTTTTTAGCCTCAGGTTAAAAAAAAAAAGTATACTTGGCAAACACCTTTACAGATATGCTCAAGTAGTGTAATAACACGCATGAGCTGATTCACTTCCAGTATTGTTATACTGCCCAACCACTATAGTAGCAGCAGGAAACCATGAGTGTAGTTCACTGAGGTTTGCTTTCTCCTGTTCAGAGAAGTTCAATAACAGAGATGTGCAGGCTATATAATTGGTGCACAAAATAGGTCACCAACCCACAAGAATCCTAGAGGGAATGGCTGCATGAAAGGCCTTAAAGAGCCCTATGTTGCTCCTCTGTATAACTTTTGTGTTGAAGGAAGTATTTGTAGCCTTTAGTACTACTTTATTTGCTGATCAAGGACATCAAAACCTAAGTCTTTAGAATTTGGACTTTGTCTCAAGGCATGTGGGAAAAAAACCCATCCCAAACACAGCTGGATGAGTCATCTGACCCCAGAGAGGCAGGAGATAATGTCTTGTCCAGACTTCCTGTCTCTCTTTTGCAAGACTTTTCCATAATTCTACGCCTCCATCTTCTCCCATATAATCATCTCCTCTAACTCCTGCATGCCAAGGTCTCTAACGGCCTGTCCTGGAAAGGAAGAGCTTCCACACACCCACTCATGCCTCCAGACTTGGGTTTCCAGCATTCCTTATTCATAACATCCCACCTCACCAACACACACAATCCTGGAACTATGATATGAGCTGTAGAGAAATTCAGGAACTCAAAAGAGAGAGCTGGGATGACTGTTGCATGCTCCCTCCTCGTTTAAATTTAAGCTGAAACTGAAGCACTGTAAAGTCCTCCCTGCGGCCTCAAGAGCGGGACCCCTACACGGCTGCATCCCGCAGGGGCAGAAATCGAGTCCCAAAGATGCCGCTAAGGGTGCTGTGGGTCCGGGCTCAGGCTTTAACAGCCAGGACGTATCCGAGTACACTAAAGGGCCAGGGCTTCCGGGATGGTGAGCCTCACCAAGCGTGCTTAGGAAGGACAGCAGACCCCTATATGCTCTTGACTGCTCTTCCCCACAGCCTAGCTGAAGCCGGAGGAGGAGCGCTTCCCGCCCACCTCTCAAAACAGATAAAAGGCAAGGGGGTGGGTGGGCAGAGAATAAGTCTGCGGCCCAGCCCATCTGGGACCTAAGGGCCAGAGACGCTCCATGCTTCGGTCCCGACACTCCACTTACGTGGCTGATAGTCTCTAGCCAGAGCCCGAGCTCGGGGACGGCGCCCACAGCCGCCGGGACCCAGCACAGGAGGCAGAGGGCGACGCGCAACAGCGGGGCCCCGGCGGGAAGGCGGAGGCAGCGGCGTGCCAGGAGCCAGGCCCCGGCGCGGCAGGCGGCGGCCATCTTGACGCGGAAGCCGCACCTGGCGCTCCGAGACGCCTGCCACGCCCCGGGCCCCGCACCTGGTGCAGCTCTGCACCGGCGGGCGTGTCGGAATAGGGGACGAGGGGCTCGGACTGAGATGTGGACAAGGGCCCTGGGCTCGGGTCGGGGCGGAAAGAAGTGATGTCGGGCTGAGAAGCGGGGCCGGAGTGGAGAGGCAGGGCTCGGGGCCTGGCCTGGGCGTGGAGCTAGACGATGCGTGGAAAAGAAGGATGGGAGCCGGGAGGTGGAGTTGGGGCGGGGACAGGGAGGCGGGGCTCTGGGCCTGGCCTGGGCGTGGAGCTAGAGGCGGTACCCCAGTGTAGAAAGGACGAAGGGGAGCCCGAGCGTGGAGGTTGCGCCCGGGACCAGGCCGCAGTGTGGGAGCGGGCCGGGCAGGGGGCAAGGTTGGAAACCAGGACGGAGTGGAGAGGCGGGGCTCCAGACCAGGCCAGAGCGTGGAGGTGGGGCCGGGATGAGAGGCGGGGCCAAGGGATGGAGGCGGGGCTCGGGACCCGGAGGGAGTTCAGAGGTTGGACCGCGTCGTGGAGGCGGAGCTCAGAGCCGGGCCTTGGGAAGGAACTAGAGGAGGGGACCTGCCTGAGCAAGACTGAGATTCCATCTCTAAAAAAATAGTTGGACATTGTGGCGGGCACCTATAGTCCCAGCTACTTGGGAGGCTGAGGCAAGAGCATCTCTTGAGCCCAAGAGTTTGAGGTAGCTGTGAGCTATGATGCCACAGCACTCTACTAAGGGCAACAAAGTGAGACTCTGTCACAAAAAAAAAAAGAAAAGAAACAAAGCTTAAAAAATGAATTAAACAAAGCTCAAACACACACACAAACAGGACAGTATTAAGGTGAGCAATGGAATGACCAGTCGAGAATAATACAAGAATTTGCATGCCAGTTAAAAATAATTTACAATAAGAGAGATGGTGGCCTCACTCACAGAAGCAGCTGTCAGGATAGAAATTTGGATGCATTCAAGAGACATGCAGGAGATTTCAAATGAAAAAGCCTTAGTAATTGATCAGATATTGGTGATTTGGGAAGGAGAGGGGTTGATACTGGCACACAGGTTTCTGGCAGAACAACTGAGGTGTGGAACACTAGGAGGTGAAAATTTGAACAAGTCTGAGCTGCCCGTGGGATATCCAAGTACAGCCAGTGGACAAGTTTATATCTGAGTCTGTTGTCTGGAAAAGGGCTTAGTGGTTAATTGCATGTAGAGGGGGGACTGAAGCCATGGGAGAGGATAAGATTTCCAACAGACACCAGGACAGTGGGAGGAGAAAAGCACTGGAGAATCCTGAGGAACAAAAAGGTTTCCTATATTCAGATCCGCGAGATATTGCTGGTGGATACAAGCTGAAAGAGATATGAAAAGGATTTTCTAGGTTCTGGCAAAGTTTGTTTCTTGATTTGGGTGCTGATTGTAAGATCGACCCAAGCATCGGGGAATCCTCCAAGCCCCACAATGTGCTCACTGGAAATCCAATAACGGCAACCAGAGCAGAGAGGGAGCTTCATAGGATCCAGTTTGTGGATCCTGCACAAACTGCAGGTGAGAGCAAAAGAACCATCATAAAAGGTTTGATAACCCTTCAGGGGCTTAGGCCTTAGAAACCTTCAATCTAGCAAATGGAATCTTACATCCAAAGCAAAGTCCCACAGCAAAGAAAAACTATCGGAAACAGAATTCAAATTCAGAAGGACAGGCACAAGAGAACAAAATGAAAAAGAAAATTCCAAAAAAGTGGGTAAGGTGGACAGAGCCAAGAGATCTGAGCAACTTCAAGGCCATTTTCTTAAAGTATTTCATAAGAAAAGAGGGAATGCTAGAGGATGAACTTAGAAAATGTATTCAGCTTAAAACTTCATAAAATCACAGGAAAACTAATTTCACATAAGATGAGCAATAGTAAAGTTATTCTAAAATAAAAAAAGAATATGTAGTGGAACACATCTCTTCAGAAAATGAAAGCATTCCAGGAAGACATGCCCATAAAGAGTTGAAAACTACAACCTAGGCTAGGCTAGGTGTGGTGGCTCACACTTATAATCCTAGCACTCTGGGAGGCCAAGGCAGGTGGATTGCTGTTGGAGACCAGCCTGAGCAAGATTGAGGATTGGTTCCCCCATCTCTACTAAAAAGAGAATAACTAGCCAGGCACTATGGTAGACACTTACGGTCCCAGCTACTGGGAAGTCTGAGACAACGGGATCCTGAGCCCAAGAGTTTGTGGCTGCAGTGAACTCTTGATCTCAAGCAATCCACCTGCCCCAGCCTCCCAAAAGGCTCAGACATCACTTTGAAACCTAAGTTTTATGGTGCATGGGGACCTCCCATGAACCTCTCTGACAGCCCACTGAGGGTATGGACCACAATGTAGATTACCCTAATGACATGATAATTAGTCTTAAGGCTCTTCTAGGCACTTTTAAGACTATCATACCTGTTGCTAGGTTCATGGGCTAGAGTCTTCTATATCCTTTTGCAGTCGGCACACTAAATTCTAATTGGTAGATTGGTAGGATGGCCCCCTCCTCCCCAGGTGTGAGCACTTGCTACAAAATTAAGGTGGGACACAAATATAAGAGGGACTTTACCCAGCAAATGCAATCAGCATAACCTGGTTTTCTGTACCCTCAATGAGTCCCCAACAAAAAAAAAAAAAAAGGGAAGAAAACAATAAAAAGTAAATAGAAAAACTAGCCAGGAGTCATATAAAGTACCTATAGTCCCAGTTACTTGGGAGGCTGAGGCAAGAGGATCACTTAAGCCCAAGAGTTTGAGGTGGCTGTAAGCTATGATGCCACAGCACTCTACCTAGGGCAACAGAGTGAGACTCTGTCTTAAAAAAAAAAAAACCAAAGAAACCAAAAATTCAGACCACAAAATGACAAAAAGAATGGTAAACAAAAATTCTAGCTAGTATATTTGTTTTTCACAATGAAATGGAATAGCAGTTCTGAGAATAATTTCTGATATTTCAGAAGTAAATAATGTATATTGAAGATAATAGGAACCAGGCTTCTCGCTGTCAGAGAAAGGAATTACAAATAAGAAAACGAGGAAAGCAAGAATGAACTCTATAATGTTGGCTTACAACTGAACTCATGTTTGGCTTATAACCTACTGACAAACTCATTTTTTATTTTAGGTAAATAGATGTAGATGTGTGTATGCATTTACATTCCCTTGTACAGATCACTAGGAGGAGGACCTAGAAGCAGTGACACCCCAGTTGCAATGTGCACATCTAGTGCCAGATCTTGGTTCAGAAATGCCATCCATTCTCCACTATATCAAAGCAGGAATCCTTTGGAGAAGTGTCTGAGTGCAGTGTTGGGATAGGGAAAATGACAATGAACTTGGAGTTTGTTTTGCAAAATGTAAGGAAACGGATAAAAAGTAATAAGGATATATTAAAAAAAAGACATAGGAGCCAGCTTGAAGGGGGCTCACTCCCACTGACCGAAGATAATCTGGGCACCAAAATAATGACAGTAATGGGTTGTAACTCACTGAATCAAATAAGAATATTTGCTTCATACTGACATAAATAAATAAATGATTTTTTTT